CAGATGTATTGAATTCTGAATCTTCAGGTATGCATAGATAGCAGCAAACTTTGCCTTATTATGGTTCTTGGGTTCTTGTTTTTATGTCTTGGTTTGGAATATCTTAGTTTCTTTGCAGCATAGCTGAAAGGAACATAACGATCATGTTTTACTGGGCTAATTAAATCGTGCTGTTATCATTTTAAGAAGTTTGCTTGGTCTTTAAATTGCAGATATTTTTGGAGTTGTGCTACTTTGATTTAGTGTTAGGGCCACTAGCAGAGAAGGAAAAAGTGTCAGCCCTTCCTGGAAACACTCTCCTCTCTTGGTTTCGATACTCCCACCCTCTCCTGGTACCACCCCACCGCGCCCCCCTGTCCATGTTTAGACCTTTCTTGCTATATCACAGTCACTTTCCCTTCACTCTTGGTCTTCTTTCAGTAAGAGGTCCTGATTACCCTCATGATTTTAATGAACACTAATGTACTGAATATTATAATTCTCCCCTAGAACTGTTTTCTTGTGTTCAGGCTGGTATAAGCAGGTTGCTTACTGGACATCTCCCTTTTTCCCCCCAGGAATCTCAAACTCACCACGACCAAATGGAATCACATCTTCACCCAAGATTGTTCCTGGTGTAACAGTTGTCCAGCTGGGTCAGAAACCTTTGTCCTGCTGGTCTTGGTGACCTCCTCAGTCTTCAAGTCCCAGCTTGAATTTCACTTTTTCTGTGATTCCTTCCTTCACTAATGCAGGTAAAGGGCTAATCACCCCCTTTGAACTCTGGACAGCCACTATCCCTTACTCATCACTGTACTTGGCACGTGTTGGTGTGACCGAGCGCATGTGTGCCCTGTCTGGAGGGCAGGGACTGTGTGATACCTCCGGTGCCTGTAGCAGTTTCTGTCCTTAGTGGGTACTTTGCAACCTTTGAATAATTTCTTTTTTTTTTTTAACATGCCGCTCGACTTTCAGGATCTTAGTTCCCTGACCAGGGATTGAACCTAGGCCCCAGCAGTCCTAACCACTGGACCACCAGGGAATTCCCAAACCTTTGAATAATTCGTAATCTCATTCCAGTGCTTATCAGTAACTGTTGTGGTGAATATGTTATTGTTGAATATCATATGAATATTATATTACTGTGGAGTGCTTAAATAAATAATAGATTTGACTTTACCCTCTTCATATTTATTATACAGAAGTTGAAAAACTTAAAACTACAACTTTTTTTTTCTGTAAACCCAGTGTGGTAAGAACCCAAGGTAACATTAAACAACTTCTAGTATGTTCTGAAGATACTTCAAGTGTTCTTTGATTCATTCTTGAAAAGCAGGAAAAATATATTAAATGAACATTTTTTGTGTATTATGCCGGCAAAAGTAGATGGTCACTTCGTGTATAATGTCTTGCTAAAATATATATTAAAAATCGCCTGTGATGAAATGTTCATTTAATTTGACAAGATTTTTTGTTTTATATCTTCAGTAACTTTTTTTTTTTTTAATAAAGATTAAAAGCTGTTATATTGTAGGGAGTTTAGAAAGCACAACCATCAAAAGGCCATCAAAGCCATTCATAATTTCACTGTCAGAAGTAACCACTGTATCATCCTAATGTATTTCTTTTTCTGTGAATATGTAAAACATATACAGAGATTGCTATATTAAAACCATCGGACTTGATGATACATTGCAGTGCCATAGTTTTAGAAATTCCTTTTACAGTCTTGTTGTTTCGTAGTATTCAGTTTTGTGAACACACCTTTACTAATGCACATTAACTTTTTTGCTTTATAAATAGGGCTGCAGTGAATATAAGTATTGTTAAGCTTTTTAAATGACTAATCGAATGTTTTAATAAATATGCAGTATAAATGAGTGCAGAGGTGATTAGGGTGGTTAGTGTAAACGCCGATCCACAATCTGTTGAGAAGAAAGGACATTATGGTCACTGCTAGATGACATCTAGGAAAATAGTCTCTGAAATCAGTCTCTGGGTTAGAGTCTGAGTTTGTCTTCCTGAGGGTTTATAAGAGCCCTTTCAAGGGGACGTGAATGAGTTCTGGGCACAGGGGGGTTATCTGGTAGCGCTCTGAAGGGACCAGGTTCTGGGCCCCTGGCCGACAGGAGTCTTGAGGTGAACAGGCTGCTCTTCCTGTTCTTCTGAGCATACGGAGGCGTGGCTCTAGTTCTCAGGAATGGGTGGATACAGAAGACTTGCAAGGAAGGGACATGGGCACACACAGGTGATCAGGCAGCAGGACACAGACATGCAGAAGCGTGATTAGCACGAAGCCCAGACAATCCAAGGACGGTTAAGATCCAAGCCAGGCACACACTTAACTCCTAAGTATTTTACTCTTTACCCACTGCCTTCTGGCCTTCAGAGTTTCTCACGAGATACACGATCATCTTATCAAGGATCACTTGTTTGTGACGTTTTGCTTTTCTCTTGGCCTGCTTTCAAAATTCTGTTTTTTGAAAGTGTGATTATATATCTTTGATTTCATCTTGGTGTTCCTTGACTTCTTGGATATTTATGTTCATGTCTTTGACCAAATTTGGGAGGTTTTTGGCCATTTTTTCTTCAAATGCTTTACCCCCTTCTCTCTTTTGGGACACCTGTGATTCCTGTGTTGGTCTGCTTGTTGGTGTCCTACAGATCTCCTAAGTTGCGGTCACTTTTCTTCAATCTTTTTTGTTTCTGGTCCTCAGAGTTAATAATTTCTGTTGTCCTGTCTTCAAGTTCACTGATTCTTCCTGCTCAAATCTGCTTTTGAATCCCTCGAGTCAAATTTTCACTTTAGTTACTGCACTTTTAAGCTGCAAAATTTCTTTTTGGCTTCATTTTAGGTTTCTATCTTTATTTCCATTTTGTTTATACATCTTGACTTTTTCTACTTCTTTCTTTACTTCTTAATCATTTTTAAGACAGTTGTTTTGAAGTCTTTGACTGGTATATCTTCCATCAATTCTTCAGGGACAGTTTATGTTGACTTGTTTTTTTTCCTTTGAGTGTGCCCTGCTTTCCTATTTCTTTATGTGACTTGTGTTATTTTGGGAGTGAACAGCACTGCTGAAAACTGGCCATTTGAATCTAATGAAGTAACTCTAGAGGTCAGATACACCCTCTTCCCCAGGGTTTGCTATTTATTTTTTGTTTTGATGTAGACTGCCTCTCTGCTGAAGGCCAGCCTGAGGTATAAACTTAAGGTTGTCTCATGTCTTTTGAGCTTTCAGGTGGGAGTGAGCAGTCAATGTGGTAATTTCCGCCACATATGCATTTGGTTGTAAATGTCCTAGTTTTTACTAGTGGAAAATTAAGGGGAAGTTTAGGGGGAAAATGGAAAAACGAATGGGGGGCAAAAGGGTGCTCGCTGTTTAAATCTCCTGGCACTCCAGCCCACTGGAAAAGCTTGCAACAGGGGCCAGATGCAGCTGTTTAAATCTCCTGGCACTCCAGCCCACTGGAAAGGCTTGCAACAAGGGGCAGATGCAGCTGTTTAAATCTCCTGGCACTCCAGCCCACTGGAAAGGCTTGCAACAGGGGCCAGATGCAGCAACAGTGACTGCCCACTTGTTTGTCTGCACATCTGTGATCAGAAGCAGCAATCAGTGACCAGAGCCTAGCTCCCCAGTATTTGGAGGACAGGGTCCTTTTTGCCAACCTTGACTGCAGCAGGCTGCTCCAGGAGCATATGCACAGATGCCTGCTGAGTTGCTGAAGGATAGGGAACCGCTGCTCTGCTGAGAGCTGAAATCACCACAATTACCTTCCAAGTCTTCCCTGGCAAGTTGCAAGTCTTCAGTAGGCTCCAGAGTTCCACAGTAGTTACATCAGACAGATTCTGCAAGTGCACCTGTTGTGCAGGTGGAAAGACAGGTCCTGGTATTGCTTACTTGGCCATCTTCTGGCATCCTCCCTGGGTATTTGTGTATTTTGAAATTATTTCATCTTGACAGTTTGTCTCTTCCTCCGTCTGCAACATATGTGTGCAATAACTTGTGTGTATAGCATATGTGTATTATAACTTGTGTGCAAGTTATATATAATATGCATAATATTAACAGTTTACTGGACTGGACCTTTTCTGTTCATGCCAGCGCTTGGTGTGTTTACTTTTTTTATTTGTGCTAATGAGGTAGGCAAACAATACCATTGTGCTTGATCTATTTGCATTTAACTGATTATTGTGCTCAGTCACTTCAGTCATGTCCAATCTCTCTGTGACCCCATGGATTGTAGCCAGCCAGGCTCCTCTATCCATGGGATTTTCCTGGCAAGGGTACTGGAATGGGTTGCCATGCCCTCCCCTAGGGGATATTCCCGACCCAGGGATCGAGCCCACGTCTCCTTTACTGCAGGTGGATTCTTCACCTGCGGAGCCATTGGGGAAGCCCAAGTGATTATTAGCATGAAATAAATTTGTATTTTTTCTGGGAATTGCTATTCATAACATTTTTATATAAATGCTTTAAATTTGGTTGTTTTCCTCTATAGTTGGCTTGAGGCTTGATAAGAAAATGAGTTTATTGGTAAGTATGGTGGCTCCAGGATCCTTATCTGTAATTTATTTTCTCACACGTTTCCAATGTGTTCATTTACATCATTTCAGTCTTTTCATAATTCTATATGAACTGATGAATTGCCATATTTTAACTTTATAGTCATAAGATTGTTAATGTTGTACTAATAACTATTTACAAAATACTTTGACAGTTAGCTTTCATAGACACAATCTTACCACAGGTCATGAAGTTGATTGTATTCTGCAGGTAAGAAAGCTGTTCAGTTCAGTTCAGTCGCTCAGTCGTGTAGGCTTCAGTAATAATACACAGAGCACAGAGTCTCAAGGTCAAATTTTGACCCTGCAGCTGATTCGTTTAATTATTCCTTTTGCCTGTCTTATTAGCTACAAAATGAAGAGGATCTTTTTCCCCTTTATCTGTTGGCAGAATATCCAAAAGCTAAATATGTTCTTAGATTAATAGCAATGTTACTATTTTTTAAATCTAGAAATGAGCACAGACGCAGAACAACAGCTTCTCCATCATGCCAGAAACGGCAATGCTGAAGAAGTAAGACAGCTGTTAGAAACCATGGAAAGGAATGAAGTAATTGCTGACATTAACTGCAAAGGTAAGCCTTGAATGTATCTTTTCGCTTTTTCTTGTGGGTATGCACTAGGTGGCTCAGTGGTAAAGAATCTGCCAGCCAGTGCAGAAGATTTGAGTTCAGTCCCTGGGTTGGAAAGATCCTCTGGAGAAGGAAATGGCAACCCACTCCAGTATACTTGCCTGGGGAATCCCATGGACAGAGGAGCCTGGTGGGCCATACATAGTCCATGGGGTTACAACTGAGCGACTAAGTTCACACACATGTATGCACTACTTTATCATTTATTTAGTACTAATCCTTTTGAACTTGCTTGCCATAAATTTCCATCTCTTATCCTAGGAAGAAGCCCTGTAAGAGTGGATACTCTTCTGCTCCCCTCTAAGTAAGGGAAATTGAGTGCCAGTCTTTGTTTTTTTAACTTTTTATTTTATATTGGAGTATAGCCCATTAGTAATGTTGTGATAGTTTCAGGTGGACAGCAAAGGGACTCAACCATACATAGACATGTATCCATTCTCCCCCAAACCTGAGATCCAGTCTTAAAATTGTCATGGATCCTAAACCTTACAAACTACAGGGATAGTCCTTGAGCCCACAGGATACATGCTATGACAATTTCTTCTTCTCAAAGACATTGCAGTTGAAGCAGCAGGTTTGAGTGTTTAATGTATGCCCAGGATCATGTGAAGTACCTTAAAATACTGTCAGACAGGATCTTTCCCTCACTGAGATTAGTAGATTACTAGCTCAGACTAGTCTTTATTGCACAGTATGTACAGAGTATAAGAGCTATGACATGCAGAGTGTCATGGAATGTATAAGAAGTGTGTAACTAGAACTTGAAGGATTAGTTTCTTGGAGGAAATCATCCTGTGGTGATATATGAAGAGTGCATAGACATAACCAGGTAAAAATAGAGACGAAAAGGGCTCAAGGCAGAAGAAAGGTCATGTGCCAACGTCTTGAAGTGAGAAGCAGCCTCGATGGCAGGGATTTTGCAGATAGGAGGGGTGAGTAAGTAGCAGCCGCCAAATCACAGCGTGTCTTGTGTAGCGTGGTTACAAATATATTAAACTCAGGTGTGCAGAGAAAGAGTTTATTTTTTAAATTGGCTCAGATGTTTCAACAAGCGCCTTCTCCTTCTGGGAGTTTGGAGGACTAAATGTTAGCCTTCGGGTCCCTCCATTTCAGTGGCTTTTTTGTAAAACGATTGGCCTCCCAGAGCCTCTCATCCGTGTCCTTTCCCATCTCAGTGTCTGCTCAGTCGCTTTAGTTGTGCCCATCTCTTTGTGACCCATGGACTGTAGCCCGCCAGGCTCCTCTGTCCATGGGATTTCCCAGGCAAGAATACTGGAGTGGGTTGCCATTTCCTTCTCCAGACTTTCTTCCTGACCCAGGGTTCAAACCCAGGTCTCTCTTGTCTCCTGCATTGGCAGGCTAGCGTCAGCTTGGGAAGCCCATCTCATTAAGGTGGCCTTTAAGTGTAAAGGCGAGCCTTTCTCTGTGTGTACCGCCGTTGGTTCCTCTGCAGCTTCTTTCCCAGCTCATCCTTGTAGGTGAGAAAAAACACAGGGAGTCACACGCAGGTGTTTCAGTTTATCGTAAGCACAGATGTGCTCCTTGGCTGCCTCAGGAGTCTCCCCTTGGCTCTCGCTGGCTTCCTGTCACCCTGAGCCTCTTTAATCTTCCATCTGACACATGGCCTAGGCTTGCTGGTTCACCTTGGACATACTCCTTGGGTGTGGCCACAGGGTCTTGAGTTGACAGCTGGGGGCTCAGAGCAGCCTTGGGGACCAGCATTCGACCTTCCCTCTGCCCGCACTGCCGAGTTTACTTTGACTTGGCCGCTGTGCAGGTTGGTGCTCGGGTCGGTGCCTGCCGGGGGCCCTTTTCCTAGCATCCCACTTGTCACTGCCCGTTCTCATTGTTCCCTGGACCTACCTCGCTCTGTGGGCTCAGGGTCAGGAGTCCTGTGTCCCATCTTATGTCTTTTCCTCTCACATAACCCCGAGTCCTTGGTGGGTATTTTCTTCTGCCACGTTGCATTCCCCTCCTTTGCTCGAGCAGCTCACCCTCAGTGGGGACAGAGTAATTATCTTTGCAGCAGGGAAGAAAACTTGCTCTGAGTTGTCCAGAAAGTAGCCCGAGGTGGTTCATGGAATGCTAAAGAAATTCTAAAAATCTTATCATCCTTCACCAGGAACCTGGTTCTATTTTTAAAAAGTTGTTTTAATTGGGGGGTAATTGCAATGTTGTGATGGTTTTTGCCATACATCAACATGAATTGGCCCTGGGCACGCTTGTGTCCCTCCACCCTGAACCTCTGTCCCCCCCATCCCTCCAGGTTGTCACAGATCTCTGGCTTTGGACTCAATGGGAGAAGAAGAGGGTGGGATGATTGGAGAGAATGGCACTGACACATACACATTAGCATATGTAAAATGGAAACCTGGTTCTTAATCTTTACCTTGGAGTTTTGTTCTGAAAGCTGGAAGCATGCCTGGTTGGATCATCATCAGGGACCCTTTACTTTCTACTCACCTCCCCCCTGAGTTACCCCCATGGTTACCTCGGGCTAGTTCTTGAGAAGTCACCTACTAGGAAACGTAAAACTAAGAGACAGCTGTTAATGCTTTTTCAAAATTTCACCCTCATTATACTTGTCAGTCAGACTGTCTTAAGGGTGGTTTGAAGGGATTATGCAGAGGAACAGTTATAATCAGGTGAGGTGAGTTCACCCACAGGAATGAGTGGGGAGGGCTGGGACTGGGCGCGTGAGTGTTTGCTGGTGGGAATCTCGGTGCCTGCCATTTCTTGATTTTCTATCTCATTTGTTTTTCCAAATGCTGAGAAGTTGAGGAAATGGTAAAGTGTAGTATAATTCTTCTGCAAGATTTAAAGTTCAACAGTCAACATAGAGATGTTATTGGTTGGAAGGAATCCAGCCAATATGATGTCTGGTTGGAGGGAGAGAGGGAATCTCTGTAGGTGAAGGTCAGTACTTCTAGGCTTGGGCCACAAAGGAGGAGCTAATTGGGCAGTTTTGTTTGCAGCTGTTGCCACGTTAGGAGTGTGTGTTCATGTCTGTTGCTAGTGGTGAGACATTCTTGCAAATAAAATAAATGCTAATATGTTTGAATAACATGCTTTATATAAATTCTGTGAGTAGTACTCCAAGAAATGTTTTTTTTAAAGAAATACGTTTTTAAAGCAAAATAAGAGCTTGTATTGGTAATATAAAGATGATTCTGTATGATGCTGTCCTCTCACTTTGTTGAAAGGTCTGCATGAGAAAATACTTCAGTATTACCCATAATGTGTGTATGTGCTCAGTTGCTTGCTTTTGCCTGACTCTTAGTGACCCCATGGATGGTAGCCCACCAGGCTTCTCTGTCCATGGAATTTTCCAGGCAAGAATACTGGAGTAGTTGCCATTTCCTTCTCCAGGGGATCTTTCCTACCAGTGATCAAACTCACGTCTCTTTTGTCTCCTGAATTGGCAGGCAGGTTCTTTACCACTAGCCCCACCTAGGAAGCCCATCACCCATAATATCTGCTGGTGTTTCCAGTGTTTTCCTCTTCAGTGTAGGGTACAATTTTCTGTACATATTTCTAAACTTGATATTTCTTACTGATCAAAAATTTTGGATATCCATAATAAATAGTGAAGAGCGTAAAGGATATTTGGAGTATTTTAAGAATAAGATTTTGGAAATTTCAACTTCTTGGTCCAGAATCCCATGTGGAAATACTGGATGTGAGGAAGCTGCTGAGTAACTCAAAGGAGACTGGGGTGGGTCACTGGGACTAGAAGCAGTGGGAGTGGTGAAAAGTGTTTAGATATAGTTAACATTTAGGAGGTAGAATTGATAGGACTGATTGAGTTGCGGAAGGGGTGAAAAGGAGAAAGCCAGCCAAAGTGGTACTTATTTCTCCCATCCAAGTACTAGCTAGGCCCGACCCTGCTTAGCTTCTGAGATCGAATGAGATCGAGCCCTTTCAGGGTGGGATGGCCATAGATAAGTGGATGTTGTTCTTCAGGTGCTCAGTCATGTCTGACTCTTTGTGATCTCATGGACTGCAGCATGCCAGGCTTCCCTGTCCTTCAGTATCTCCCGGAGTTTGCTCAAACTCATGTCCATTGAATCGATGATGCCATGCAACCATCTCTTCCTCTGTCGCCCCCTTCTCCTCCTGCCCTCAGTCTTTTCCAGCATCAGGGTCTTTTTCAGTGAGTTGGGTCTTTGCATCAGGCGGCCAAAGTATTGGAGCTTCAGCATCAGCAGCTTATTTCTGAATTGAGAAGTGAGGTGAATAATGGGACAGTTGGTTGTGAAAAGTGGGAGTGGGGACAGGGAATTTTTGTGTGCGAGTTTGAGGTAAGTGAATTCAGCTTTGTACTTCCAGAGCAGAAGGTATTCCTATATCCTCCAGGTGGAGGTGAACAGTAGAGAATTGAACAATAGAGCTGAATAAGAGGTGGAAATGTGGAGTTTGAAGTCAAGAGCATATAAGCAAGTAAAGCTGTGGGAAAGCGCCAGGAGGTGTCATTGTTGGAGATTCCAGTGAAATGACCCAGTCAGAGGAAGTAGAGAAAGTGGAAGTTTGCGCAGAGCCCTCGGAGGAAGTGCAGAGCTGTGGAGACGCCCCACGTGGTGCAGGGCTCTGGAGGCTTGGGCTGGGCTGGCCGACACTGTCCAATGACGCAGTGTGCTGCCTGCTGGAAAGTGCCCCTAGGATCCGGCGACACAACTTACTGGGATAAAGTGAGGACAGCTTTAGTGATGTGGTGGGAAGTGAACGTGGTCTGCAGTCAGTGGGTATCTCCTGGAGGGAACGAGGTGGAAGGAGTGTAGATGGGGAAGGGAGGGCGAGAATGAAGGAGACAATGGTCAGAGGGGGTTCAGGACCAGAGAGGAGTTGGGTGCTTTTGCTCGTAGGATGGAAGAGATGCAAATACTTACCTGTTGCTTCCTATTTGCAATGAAAAAGGGAGAGGTTAAAGATAAGGAGGAAAAGGA